CAAAATGGGCGGCAGCAATAGCAGCAACGGCAGCGCCGTGGGCATGGTTGCACCTGATGCATTGGCACTGGCCGACAAGCTGGACGAATCGCTGGCCGAGGAAAAAATGCAAACGGACGCACTCAGCCCCGAGCCGGCCATGATTATAGCTGAGCTGCCGTCGGCCGTGCTGGCAGCGGCAACAGCCACGGCAACAGTTGCAGCTACAGTGACCGCATTGCCAGCAGCCATGCCCAGCAGTAGCAACAACAACAACAACAACAACAACAGCAGCAGCAATAGCAGCAATGTCAGCGCCGCTGTCGTCGCTGTGGAGCGTCCCTCGATCTGCAGCTGGAGCGTGGATGAGGTCAGCGAGTTTATACGCAAGCTGCCCGGCTGTCAAGATTATGTGGATGATTTTGTGCAGCAGGAGATCGATGGACAGGCGCTGCTGTTGCTCAAGGAGAATCATTTGGTGAACGCGATGGGCATGAAGCTGGGACCGGCGCTCAAAATTGTCGCCAAAGTTGAGTCCATGAAGGAGGTGAATGTGGCGCCGGCAGCTGTTAACGATGGTGCCAAGGAAACGGCCAATGCCGCGCAATAGTGCATAACCAGAACCAGGAATAGTTGCAGTAACCGACGCCGCAACAGCAGCACCAGCAGCTCCTCCTCCTCCTCCTCCTCCTCTGGCAGCTCTAGCGCGCCTCTGTCGCCCGCCTATTCCATAACCCCGCCGCTATACTCGCCCGTGCTGCGCAGCAAATAGGCGCCACAAAATGCTGGTCTAACCAGCTTCGAGTCGACTGGCGTTCATTGTGAATGTGATTCACAGTAGCTAATGTTAACCGCCCGCTACACACCTAGGAGCACCGCCTCCTGCCCCAACACACACACACACACACACACACACACGCACAGCACCCAATCCCTTGCTAGCCATTCCCCCTATACCCCAAACCCAAGCTCGCAGCTGTAGTTGTAGTCTGTACGTAATTTTAATGTAGCTTAAAATTTGTAAGGCCCAATTGTATGATAATGATTGAAAACTCCCAACTAATAATAGCCAGACCCTGAGCGCTCGCTTAACTCTCGAAACGCCTGCAATCCCCGCCCCAGCGCCCTCGCCCATCTAGTGTTAGATCTATATATACGTTATATAGAATATATGTAAGGTCTCCCAACAGTTGTACAATCTGAAGCATAAACTTTCTAAACGTTTACAGTGCTCGGCATATACATATAAAAATTCACTCATATTTAAATAATAATATTTAAACGAAACGGCCCTTCCCCGGGGCCCCCTTCCAAGGAAAAAGGACAGTTAAATACTAAATCAATAATAATAATAATTATACTATTACATACTAAGGCAAATTTTAGCGTCTAAGTCTTAACTGAATTGAACATAACGAAATACAATTAATTTTTGCATATAGTATTTTTTTTTTTTTTTGCAATTATCAACAGCAATATGCAAATGCACTATGCAAATTTTAAAGAAGAAGAAGAAAAACGAAAGAACTAGTTAATATCTAAATATAACTCTAATATACATAATTACATTAATAGATATACATTAACTATGATTATATCCAAAAAAGTTTTTTTTTTTCTATGCGTAATTTTTACATATTACACATATAAAATGCGAATTGGTTCTTGAGCCATGCTACTTTCCATCTTGCTAGAGAGAGTTAAACCGGTTGAAATCTGTCGAACCAACTACTGAAACTATTTATATATATGTATATGCTATATATAACTGATATATGTAGCTGATTACAACAACTACGACACACACACACACACACATACACAATCTTTTTGCTAACGAAATGATTCATGAAAATTATTGATTATATATATTATATAGTATAGCATATATAGATATTTTTTTTTTATAATGCTTAGTTTTAAGTGTCAAACATATATATATATATATTATGTATTTTTTTTTCGAAATTGATTTTTTTTTTATCGCTATGGCTGAACAAAATACAAAACTTCACTGTATAGTGTTTAATAAATGTGAATATGGAAATTTTGTTGCTGTATCTTTTTTGCTCTAGTGGTATGAAAGTGAAAAAAAACAAATAGATATACTTGATGGCAGGCGTGAGAAGCGCAGAGAAGGGCGGCCAGCTGGCAGTGTGATGTATACAGAACAAGTATTGGGAAAAAGAAGAAGCGATTCGCTGCAGGCAATGCTGAGAGAGAGAAGCTGCTAATGCTTTTATTGGATATCGGAGTGGACGTGAGAAGCGTGGAGAGAAGCACCAGGCAATGGTGTAATGAGGTTTTAAACGAGAACTGAAGAGAGAAGCATACAGCAAAAATAGTAAGCTATCAATAATGAGAGAGAGAGAGAGAGAGAGAGAGAGAGAGAGAGAAAGAGCGAGAGGGTGGGAGAGTGACAGACAGTGAAAGAACGAGTGTGACGGGGAGAGATGAAGGCGGTTAGAATAGAGAAGTTAGAAAAATTAGATGTAATAGTGAAAAAGAGAGTGTGAGAGTGAGATAGTGAGAGAGGGAGAGAGGGAGAGAGAGAGAAGTAAATTCTAGGCCACGCAATGCAATCGAAGACACGGTCATCTTCTTTGCTTCTGCTAAGAAACTCGCAGAACTTCGTAAATAAGTTCCCATGTTTAACTGGGCAGCGGGAAACAGCTGGAAGAAAATTCAATCTAAAAAATCATTCAACAGATTTGTCACATTTGCCTTTCGCACATGCGAAAAAGGTGTTGCCAACGTGCAAATAAAAGCCAGTGTTGTTTAAGCTATTGTGAAAATATTGTTTTATTTTTATGTTAAAATTCTCTGGTACTTTATATATTTTTGAAATATGCATACATGTTTTGAAATCCCCTTTGATACATAATGAGATTATAATTATAATAAATTCAATGAGGGTTTCTTTGAACTTTAATGACATTTTTAATCGATTTTTATATGGTCTTTTTGTTTCTATTCATTTTCATTTCGTATTTATATTTTTGGTTTCGTTGAAAGGAAGTTCAAGAACTTTAAAGAGTTTATCAAGTGCGGCTGTTGAAACAAAATACATTATATCGTTCAATTTTTCAAATATACTAATCTCATACAGAATAAGTAATAGTAGGTAATGCCCATGGCATTCTGCCCTAAGTGGGCTAACGTTTCATCCAGATGCACGGTATACTCTGGATATACGATTTATATGTATAAAAAACTTGTATCGAGGTTTCTAGTGGCAAAGCTTTTTCGACTGGCTCTGGATTATATACTTATATATTGTTTACCATTCTAGACCAGGGATCTATCTAAGAACTGAATCAGTTGAATATCGATTCGCATCATTTTACAAATGAGCGTGACAAGATTCGTTTTTTTTTTTGTTTTTTATTAATAAGTTTTTAAAGCCAATTTTGTGTTTTCTTAGTTAGAGTGTATAAATGGAAATAGGTATTTTTTTGGTATTTTATTTGTTGGTATTTAGTAGTATTTTTAAAGCGCTTTATCATTGGATAGTATTTATTAGTTTTTTGGATTCTATTTAAATTTGTCGATTTATCATCTTAAAAATACACATTATTTAGGTTTATGACTTCGTATTAATCGTTTTTTTTTTTAAATTATATTTTTTAATGCATAAATATACTATATATATTTGCATATTGGTCAGATATTGTGGCATTCGAATTGTACATTCAGTTAAGATCATTGTTTATTGTTTCTGCTTCATTTTGTACCCCTGCAGTAGATAGTTTGTTGGGGAACTGGGGAACCGGAACTTGGGAATTTAATACCAACTAGAAGGTTTCAAATTGAAGAAGTTGTATTATGTGAGAAAACAGGAAGAATCCTTTTTAAAAGATTTCAAATACTTTAAATACTAAATCAAAGGTGTTTTATATAAGGCACCAGAAGAAGCCTTTTCAAAATACTATAAATACCTTTTAAATACTAAATTTGTGGGTTTAATTTGAAGAAGTTGTATTATAGAGGCAAACAGCAAGATTTTAATCAAATATTTTTAAAGACATGAGATAGTAAAAAAGAAGCTATTATTTAAAGGAAGATAACATAAAATACTAAATACTAAACTAATTACTAAACTATAATTTAAAGAACTTTTATCATATAAGAAACCAGGCAGAAACAATTTCTAAAGATTTTATAGACATAAATGGCTAAAATTTGAATAAGTTCTATATCGGACTATATCTTAGATAGTTTTTTTTTCTTTCAGTTAATCTTAGCTGCGAATGCTTGGAGAACATTGAAATTTGAATATTGACTTTACTCGAGAAATATCTTATGTAGAACTTGTTCTGCTCAGATCCATATACCCTATATGAACTGCAGGGGCATTTTTTACGACATAGCCGTAAATGAGTTTTATTCTTAATTTGTTTTTAATTTTTTTTTTTAAATAACTTTTCCTGGCTATTCATAGACTAGAGAAAAGCTTGTTTACGTGTGAGCCTCTTTATACCATTTTTTGTTGTTCTTGTTGTCATTTGAATTATTAAATATTGCAATTAATATTGATTTGTTGCTTTTCATATCGTATATATATGTATATATATTATTTACAGTTGTGTGAGGCAAACAAAAAATTGTCACAGCCGTACTCCTTAGCATATCGTATATGTGTATACGCAATGCGCAAGGCATTGCCCATATTTGTGGTGTTCACTGTAGCTATCGATAATTTATTGAATCTTATCATTTTGTTAATAACACTTTTTGCTTTATGTTTGCAATTTTAATTAGTTAGTTAATTAGACGTTTGCTTTAGCTGGTCTGGTCCTGCAAGAAATGCCTAGAAATCAAATCAGGTTCAACTATTTTTATATCGAAAGAGACGCTTCAAATGCTTAAGTTCTACGATTCGGAGAAAATGAAAACGAAACTCAACCCTAGTTAAAGTTTTTTTTTTTTATATTTCTTTTATATTTAGAAGTTTTTTGCGGCTATTAAAATGGCTATTAAGGATTTGAGTTATAGTTTTTTTTTTTGTTATTGTTTATTCAAATACTTTTATTAAAGATTTCGATTAGTTGTTAAAGTTTGTTATTGGCTGGCAAATGAAATTCAAAATTCTTTAGTTTTGAGGTTAGGTTTTTTGTTTTTAAGGTTAGGTCCTCTTAAAGGTGTTATCTGTGTAGATTTGAGAGTTCTTTCGATGCTTGCTAAGCCAGTTGATATGGCCTTTGATTTGGAATCAAATGATGTGTGCGATTGTGTGTGTGTGTGTGTGTGTGTGTGTGTTTGGATCGTGTTTAACCTACAATAAAATTAGCACCAATGCAAAATATATACGATTTTGGGCATATATATTATAATTATGCAAGTGTATGTGTGTGTGTGTGTGTGTGTGTGTGTTTAATGATATGTGTAATTTACTACAGTTATTGAATTGCAAGTATAAGATCTTAAGATCTAAATAAAGAATGAAAAAAAGACGAGTTTGGAAAAATCAATTGTCACTAGGTGTTTGAACTGGGGGCGAGATTTGTTGGGCCGTATATATATATATGCATATATATATATATATATATATGTGTATTAAAAAGTGCGTGTACAGTGGCTGAATGCACATTTTAGTTCATACTATATCATTAATTGTCTATTATCGTACTTGATTCATTTAGCTAAACACTAATTAACAAGTTTTTGATCCGAATTATATAAAGCTAGGCAGCTATACGCGTATGTACAAGTTGAGTATAAACTCGTATATATATATATTAATATATATATATTTGTTTTTTTCCATTTTTAATATCTGCTATATTCTATATAGACTTAGGAGCTAGTTAAAGACTGTCTTTACGTTCGCTTCATGAGTGTGATTTGGTTTTTTTTTATTATTATTATTTTTTTGTTGTTGGTTTTTTTCAAGTATTTTTCTAGTATTTTGTGTGCCGACTGTACCAGATCTGAAGTCGGTTGGCTTGGACTGTATTAAATATATATATATATGCGCTTTATATGCTTGCTTTATTGTACCTACATAAGACTAGGGACATACATATATAAGTTGAGAACCTATGTTTTGTTCTGTATTACTCCAAATCATATCATTTATATAAATATATATATATATATGTATATATATATACATTTATACGTATATACATGTATCTTCTTTTTTATTTGAAATCTTTTGAATGCACCTATATAAATCTTGTTAGTTGCAGTTATTACATTGTAATAAGTATCCATTTGGGGTTTAGCTTTTTAGGGGGGGCTGGCTGGTCTCCGGGACAGAGTTAACAAAAACGAACCTTCCCACTATCTACTTAAGATCTGGGTGGCGAGTTGTAGGGTAGGGGATTGGGGAGGTCGGGCTGACTTATTGCTAAACGCCGTTACTCAAGCGATTTCTGCTCAAGTTATAAATTGAGAAAACTGTTGCCCAGAAAGCTGAACATTATGGTGGACACGGCCAAGGGTGCGACCTGCACTTGACAGGCGGTGCTGTTCCCGGCCAGAATCTCGGCGCGTTTACGCATACGTTCCTGAAAGTACAAAAATTATATTATCTATAAGAACTAATAGTTCTATAATTACATCTCTAGTGTATCAAGTATCTATATTTACAATATTTCTAATGGCAGCTTCAATATCTAGAGCATTCGAAGTACTATCCTATCCTATTCTATCTATTCTGAATCTCTGACATTTCTATAGCATCCGCAGTATCTACTTTGTTCATAGCTTTTATAGTATCTAAATGTTTTATTCTATATATAGAATTTGACCTTGCCAAAGTATATTGTCTTTTATATCTACAATATTTCAATTGTATCTAGTATCTGCAGCATGTTAGGTATTTGTCGACTAATATATTGCATCTACAGCCTCTGTTGTATCTATAGTATTTATAGTATCTATCTTTTGATATCTTTATTATAGTATGAATAATATCTATTGTATCTATTAAATACGTAACTAAAGTACCTATAAAATTCACAGTATCAAAAGCTTCTATTGTATCCATAACATTGGCATATAAAGTATCTACAGTATCAATATTATCTATAGTATCTATAGCATACGTATCTATATATTGTGTATCTATGAGATAAGTATCTAAAGAAATTACATTATCAACCCATACTATTGTACCTATTAAAAAAGTATCTAAAGTGTCTACAGTTTAAATATTATCTAACGAATCTATAACATACGTATCTATATATTGTGTATCTATAAGATGTACAGTATTGACTTACCTGATAAAGCTTGTCCTCGCCAGGCGGATCCAAACACTCGAATTCGCAGCATCGTTCGCCTACTCTGAAGTTTTTACAGAACTGAAAACGAAATTAAAGATAATTTGTGGATATGTTTTATTTACAGGATTTTCCAATATCTTACGTAGGGCGGATCACAGTAAATGGCCTTGCACCACAGCGGCTCGGAATGATAGCAAACGCATAGACTACAAACACCAGGTCCGGGCACATAGAGCATGCCATGGTTCACCTTGTTACCCTGAAAGTCCACGCAGTCCTCCTCCAGCGCAACTGTTGAGCCAGACAGACAGAGAGAGAAGAGAGATAGAGATAGAGATAGAAAGAGAGAGAGAGAGATAAGGAGAGATTAAGAGAGAGGGTAAGAGGAGCGCAAGAGAGAGTGAAAGAGAGAGTTGTCTTTAATTCATATGTGAGATTGATAATTCGTAGCCTTAAACGTAGGAGGTTGAAAAAGTTTAACGTTTTGAGAATTCCATTCCCAAATGTGGAATATGGGCGTAAACTTGAATGATAAGTTGGAAAATGTTTCACAAATGTTTCGAGAATTCCGACAGAAAATGTGGAATAAAACAAACTTAGCTTTAACGAGCTACACTATACTCATATGTCTTCAAGGGTGTTCAATCTTCGGCGTGCCGAAGATATCGTCAATTTCTTGTGTTTTTCTTGCAATTTGTTGAAACTGTTTTCAGTAGGCGTCGAAATACGCATCACTCAAAATATGAGGAAGCACAAAGCATCGAAAATTCTATTTAGTTTGTTCAAGTGCCTAAAACGGAGCACTTCCTTTTGAAATGAAATTGAGTAAAAAGTTGCCAAAAAAAAAAAAAAAAATTAAAGTAAAAACTAATTTAAATTACACTCTTTCGAACTAGCCAAATATTTATTTGTGTAAGCTTGCTTTTGAATATATTAAATAATATTTAAAAAAAAAAAAACAAGAAATAACTAAAAAATGAAATGCAAATTGTTCAAGACAAACTATATTTAACATAATTGGAACTGCATTTGCAGCTAACTTGCTGCAGATGTGCGGAGACGTGTCGTTGGGCAGCTATTCGGTCAGCAGCTTTCAACATTGTGGTCAAAGGTCGTGAAGGTTGGGCGGGACAGGCGAGCAGTAGTTGCGGCACAACGTTGCCGCTGACCTCGCCCGCATCATCAACAGCTGTTAAAGCGTGGCCAGGGGCCAGCTCCTGGCATCAGGCGATCGATGATCGCATCGCGGAACAGCAGCTGCAATCCCAGTGTGCGCACTCTGCAGATCCATCTGTGCACTGAGAGAAACGCATGCTTGCACCTCAAAATGCTGCAGTTGTTGCGACTTGTGCTCGGCCAGCTATGTGAGCCACTTTTTCACAGCTGTTCAGGGCATCATTTTCTATGTCCAGCTACCTTTAAGGTTCTTGTCGATACGCACGCTCCGGGAGCTCGTGAACAGGAACCTTCGCGATATATTGAATCCTCAGCTTCAAGATGCGACAGCGCTTTACACTATTTCGGCCAGTAAATGGCATCAGCAGGTATATTGTGAACATTCCTATATACATCTATATATATATATATCTATATATATATTTTAATCTGAACCGCTTCATTTAGCAATTGAGCAATGCTAGAGCCCAGTAACTTGCACGGGGTGCAAGCGCCTTGTTTATCTCCAAGTAAATGGCCACACGGTAAGTTTCTTTCAGCTAGATAAGTTAAGCTAGATTTCTATTAAATAAAGTAAAATCAGATAAATAGAGATCGCTTCGTCAAGCCGAATATAAAATATTATGCGATTGTTCCTATAGAGCCATATATAGTCCAAGTATATTGGAACTATAATAAGGCTCAAAATAACTTAAATATAAAAGACAACCGATGCATTCGACAGTATTTGAAAAAAGTAAAATATATTATGGAGAAAGAAGCATATGAAGCATATTTTTCCTATTTCTATAGCCATAATCCAGAATAAAGAAAGAGAAGCTTACTTTAGCCCAATGGACTTGTCTAAAAATAATTATCTGATATAAGCTATAATAAACCTAACTGGAATGAATATCAAAATTGTCCGATTATAATCTGTAATGAACTTATCTAATATCAATTTGTTGCAGAGACTACAAACGACTGCAGACTGTGCTGCTGTTACCAGTTGCTGACCCAAATGTGAAAAGCGCTGTTGCATCTTGAAGGGCTAAGAAAAAATGTGCAGATAGTTGAAGAATCCAGCCCAACTACCTGGATACCACAACAGGAGCACACCTCGACAAGCGGCCAAAACCCAACGGTTGGGAGGAACACATGACATTTGCCAAGCGCCACAATTTGGGCATTTTGATCGCTTGCCTCGTCGAGCACATGTGGCAATGAGTGCAGCATTTTGAGGGCCAACCATACGATTCTCTCAATGTTCAGATGGTTCTGCAGATTGCACACACTGGCGTCGCCGCTGCAGTTCGACGACGCTATGGCCGATCGGGCGATGCAGGAGGAGTCTGAAGGATTGAATGGTGCTGCTTTAACTGGATGGATTCAATCTGACGTGTAGGTGTGCGGAAACGGAAATGCTGTGCCTCGACTGCTGCTCGTCTGTCCAGACCGACACGTCCTATGACTGGAATGTTGCAGGCTGCTTACCGAACAGCTGCTCCACGACACTATCTACAGGTCTGGTACGACCTGACCAGTTCTCCAGTAGAGTGGCAAGACCCGATACAAAATACTGTTTAGTCTGTTTAAATTGCATTCCAATAAAATTCAATGCAGCATCAAATGCATTTGACTTTTTCGTTTTATTCTATATTCTCGACTTAACTTGCAGCGAGACTCTTAATCGCTGGCTTTCACTCGCTATTATTTTTATACCCTGAACCCATTAAAAATGGGTATAAGAGTATATTGTATTTGTGCAAAATCCAAATGTATAACAGGCAGAAGGAAGCATCTCCGAGGTCGGTGAGAAAATCTAAACTTTTTCGATGATTTTTTTTAATATCTCGGGTAATAGCTCCGCGCGGAGACGTTCCAAACGACATAACTCCACGCGGAGATATGACGTTCCAAAACGACATAACTCCGCGCGGAGATATGACGTTCCAAAACAACATATCACGGGTAATAGCTCCCCGCGGAGATATGACGTTCCAAAACGACATAATATCTCGGGTAATAGCTCCGCGTGGAGATATGACGTTCCAAAACGACATAACTCCCCGCGGAGATATGACGTTCCAAAACGACATAACTCCCCGCGGAGATATAACGTTCCAAAACGACATATCTCCGCGCGGAGATATGACGTTCCAAAACGACATAATATCCCGGGTAATAGCTCCGCGCGGAGATATGACGTTCCAAAACGACATAACTCCCCGCGGAGATATGACGTTCCAAAACGACATAACTCCCCGCGGAGATATGACGTTCTAAAACGACATAATATCTCGGGTAATAGCTCCCCGCGGAGATATAACGTTCCAAAACGACATAGCTCCGCGCGGAGATATGACGTTCCTAAACGACATAATATCTCGGGTAATAGCTCCGCGTGGAGATATGACGTTCCAAAACGACATAACTCCCCGCGGAGATATAACCTTCCAAATCACCACGTTTTTTTGCGAAAATCGAAACTTTTTCGATGATTTTTTTTTAATATCTCGGGTATATAAAGTCTGATTTTAAAATGTTCTACCTTTTTGAATGCGTACGGATCCCAACCATCAATTGGCATTCAAACAAGTTCATCATCGATGGGTTGAAAAATGTTGTTGACAAAAAACCGATTCGTTCGTAAAGTCAACCATTTTGATGATTTTTCGGAATATTTTCGTCAAATAATGTCCGATTTTGCAATTTCATACCATTTTTGACTCGTGAGGATCAGTTCTATCGATTGGTATCAAAAAAAGGAAATCCAAAATCTTGACCCAAATCGATTTTTTTTCAAAATCGAGGTCAGTGCGAAAATCGAAACTTTTTCGATTATTATACTTTAAACCCTTTAAAAATGGGTATAAGGGTATATTGCATTTGTGCAAAATCCAAATGTATGTAACAGGCAGAAGGAAGCATCTCCGACCCCATAAAGTATATTTATACTGGATCATCATTAATAGTCGAGTCTTTCTAGCCATTTCCGTCTGTCTGTCCGTCCGTCCGTATGTATGAACGCAAGGATCTCAGAACATATGAGAGCTATAGACTTGAAATTTTAGATGAAGTTGCTCCTAGTGCCTGCGCAGATCGAGTTTGTTTCCGATAATCGGTAGACTTACTCGCTATTGACATTTACGCTATATTGACTTAGTCGCTGTAGACTTACTCGTTGGCTTAAATCGCAATTTATTTAATTTATTTTGTACTTGCAATTTGAATTTACTCGCTTTTGATCTTGACTCGCACAAAGTTTTTTCGCGTTGATCATAACTCGCTATCGACTTCTACTCGCACTTGAGTTTACTCGCTTTGACCCTTGACTCGCTCCTTCTATTCGCGCTTGAGTTCTACTCGCCCTCAATAAAATAAATAAATAAAATTTTTGTTTACAATTAAACACGAAATATTTGTAAATATTTATGATGGTTCGATTTGGTTCAAGGATGCGCAATAGATCAAAATGATGTTTAGCTGCGTTCGATCGAGTTTCGCGCAAATTAGTTCCGTTGGGCTCTGTGTTCTACTGCAGTAGCAGCATCAGCAGACATGTTGCATGCTTGTCGCAGGTTCGTTGCAATGAGCTTTTTGCCAAGGAGCTTTTAGCATAGAACTTGGTGCATGTTTGAGCCGCGATTGCAATACGAATGGGTCTCGACCTTTGGGTCTCGCCCTTCGCCGTTTGACCGTTGCCACTTACCACTTTCACCGTCAGGTGCATAGCTAAGTGCGGTTACAGTTACAGTTACAGTTACAGTAGCAGTAGCAGTCGAAGTCGCTGCACACTTAAAACGCGGTTCGAAGTTGTAAGCAACTTCCGGACGACTGAACGGACTTTGCCAACCACCGATGCGTCAGGCGTCGACGGCAGCAGCGACAGCGACGGCGACGGCGACGTAGACGGCGACAGCGACAGCGATGGCGGCAAAAGTGCCGCAAACTTTTTGCTATTCAACATTTTGTATGCTTGTTCGCTTTCTCTCTCTCCCTGCTGGCCAGCGGGTTTTGGCAAACGAACAAAGGGCTATTGGGAAGGAGGGGGCGGGGAAGGGGTGGTGGGGTGGGGTGCGACATTTGGTCGGCTGCTGCATTTCGATGCAGTTGTTTGTGCGTTTGTTTTGTCTGTGCTTTTGTTTGGTTAGCCTGCCTACATTTGTGTGCTAGCGCTGCCGACGCTGCTGCCGACGCTGCTGCCGACGCTGCTGCCGACGCTGCTGCCGACGCTGCTGCCGACGCTGCTGCCGACGCTGCTGCCGACGCTGCTGTCAACGTCTTGAGTGTGTGTTGGGTGGCCCTTATGAGATCGCTGAATAATTAAAAGCGAGCGCCCGACTTTTGCGCCAGCTGTCGGCCAAGCAATTTAGCTGCTCTGGGTCAAAGTTGGGCCAATGCGTCGTATACGTCACGCGCCTTTACATTCAATTCCCCTCTCAGCCAGCAGCTCCCTCGCACAGACACTCTGCACAGCCTCTGCAGCAGTCTGTTTGTCTGTCTCTGTTTGCATTTCATAAATGTTTTTCGCTCTCTCTCTCTCTCTCTCTGTCTGTGCTTCTATGGTGACATTCCACAATTATGCTTATTACTTTTTAATGTCCGTTGGCTTGCGTGAGCCGTCGCCTGGCTGCCTTCCACAGCCACCTGACCCCCTTGTCACTCTGCCCCGCTGACTTGCACCCTGACTCGGACGCGGACTCGGACTCGGACTGGGATCCGCTATCTCCGGCGTTGGGCAATTGGGCAGGTGGGCAGATGCCGTTTATGTGCAACCATGTGGCTCACTTATAAATAGCTTTTGTTATGACATTTAGCTGGTGACCTCCTCGAGGCTTAAACACCACCTGCAGCACCCCCCAGCACGACCCCAGCGCCGCCCTCGCGTAGGGGCGCAGCGTAAATCCTATTAAATGTAAAGTCCAGTGTTCTATTTTCATAGAAAATCAATTTCGCTGCTCATCTCATTTGACATGGACAATAAAAATGGATGATTACAAATTTGTAGCAAAATTTTATCAATTTTTACCATTTTTATACCCTGAACCCATTAAAAATGGGTATATATATATATAAGGGTATATTGTATTTGTGCAAAATCCAAATGTATGTAACAGGCAGACGGAAGCATCTCCAACCCCATAAAGTATATATAATTTTGATCAGCATCAGTAGCCGGGTCGATCTAGCCATGTCCGTCTGTCTGTCCGTTGGTCCGTCCGTCCGTCCGTATGTATGAACGCAAGGATCTCAGAACATATGAGAGCTATAGACTTGAAATTTTAGATGTAGGTGCTACTAGTTTATATAATATATATATGCATTTGATGTGGGAAGAAGAGGGTTCAGGGTATCCGCTAGTCGGGAGCTCCCGACTAGAACCTCTTACTTGTTGTTTTTAAAGCTTTGCGAGCTTTTAAGGCCCATAAAAATAGCGCTCATTAAAAGGCGACTTTATGTTCTTTCAGCTTAACTTAAATTAACAACTTAAGAGCTAGAATCTCTGCTGTACTATATATGCCATAGACAGTTCAAGTTTGAGGCTTAAGAGCATTTACTTAAAAGCAAAATTAAAGAAAAAACAAAAAACTTTTATCGAATAACTAATCAATAAATATTTAATAGTATAGTTAAGTCAAGTTGGCTTAAAGCTAAAAGCACTTTCATCGTATTCTCCCTTTAAGGCTTTTAATTGGCTGTCATTGGACACGGCCAATTAGTTGGGCACAGGAATTTGTTTCTCAATGCATTTCAATGCCATTTCAATAACAATAGCGCAACGATTGTTGGCTAAATTGAAATTGTAATTAACTGCTTGGCATCGCATGAGCTGCGTTTGTTTAAAGTCAATCAATCAATACAGTTTAAGTTGGATATGCAAATTGAAGTTGCACTCAAATCAAATCAATTTGATATATGTTTCGTTATTTATGCTAACTTGCATGCAAATTGTGCACATTATTTATGAAATACAAACCGATAAAAGGCTTAAAGTCAATTGATTATTTATTCAGATATTGTAGACGGATGATTGCGGTTTCATGGCCCAGAAACTTGGCCTCAATAGGCTATATTTAAATTTTTGCTTGTATTCCCTTAAAATTGTTATTCAATTTCAATTTTCATTTCAACTAAGTTACTTTAATAGAATCTTCAATTGTTATTTCTTTGTATTCAAATATTTGATTTTTTTTTTCATTTTTTTTTCTATACGTTTTCGATTTAGTTTCAATATTAGTTCGATAGTCTTTTCAATTAAAATGCGGTTGCAAAGTCTTTCAACCGCTGATTCTATTTCATTTTCAGCTAGCTTTAGGTTCTTTCAGTTTCAACATAAATTAGATTTTCTTTTTCTTTCCGTTTCCCTCTTCAATTTCAATTTTAGTGCAGCTAAATATAAATTTCAATTTTCAACTTCAACCTGGTTTCAATATCTACTTAAATTTGATTTCTTTCTGCATTCAATTTCAATATTACTTTGCTGCTCTTTCCATTTCAATTTCAACCCTGTTGATGTTATTTCAATTTCAACTTTCATTTGATTTCCTTCTTTCTCATTTTTGGCTAAATTTCAAATTAAGTTCAGCTGCTCTTTCAATATTAAGTTTCAATTAGAACTTAAACCTTCAAC